GGAACAGTTGCTGTAATACCAGATTACATAGGTGATTATTCAAATTTTCACCATCGATGGAATTTGAACACCCAACCTACTACTTGAAAGGTTGACAACCTGACCATTTCACTAGGCTGTTACACCCTTTTAAAAAATTTTTAAATAATTGTTCAATAATATGTTTAATAAATAAATTTTTTTATTTTGTTTTTCATTACTTGTCATGCATATACATTGTCATAACCTTTATGATATTTTTAATAAATAAATTTTCTATTTTATTTTTCAATTACTTATCATGCATATACAATTTTATAATCCTTATGCCCAAGCGATTTTGAATGCCAATTAACATTATCTTTTATTAATTTAATTAATATTTTGCAAAGGTTCATCTATATACTAAATAAAGGTTCGTCTATACACTATATTTACTATTCCAATCTCACATATTCGATGCCTCTTCTTTCATTCATATTTTAACGTTACCCTTTCTTAACGTGCAAGAGCAAGAGAAATTAATAATCAAAAAAAAATTTCAGTACTTAATATTTACAGATTCGATATTTCTTACCTTCGTCCATTGCCAAAAATATGTGCTTGTTGATTGTCCACTAAATATATATTTCAACCTTTTCGTTAAAGTACACCCTATTCAAGGGTGAAATAAAGTGCTTCTCATTTAACTTCTGAATTACTCCTCGGATTACTGAATTACTTTTACTGTTTATAAAATAAGACGTGAATTTTCTAATTCTGCTTGTCTTACCCTCTAGGAATTCATATCCGTGGCTCGGAATTCAATCTTGTGACAAAAAATCGTTACTTTAATAGGACTTCCTTATGATAAAATGATCTACAAAAATCAACCAATCATAATAAAGCCCGCTATGCTACGTATCGAAGTAATCTTTTTGCGTTATGTTTAATGGCTTTCACTAACCTAGTTATACAATTTTATTTGACAGTCAATGCTCAAGATAACGAATTTTTGCATAAAAAATTTTGCATCTGAACATATAAATTTGTCTTCTAATAACTGAATATTTCTATATAGCGAAGGCATAAAGTCAGAATGCAGACTTCGCTATATCGAGATTTAACTGTAGTAGAATTTATACATTTTTGAAATACTTCATAATCATCTATTGGAAAAATACCATTTATGGTTCTAATTGGCGGCTGATAAGAGCCATCACTATTACTATAATACCATGTTTTAAGGCCATTGCTATCATTAAATCCAAAATTAGAAAACCATGGACTATGATCAGGATGACAATAAATTGCAATTGATTGATTTTTTATGCGACTAAGAATAGATTCTTTCATATTCTCATTTTTTAAAGAAAAAATAAAGCTATCCCATGTCGATTTATGTCCAATTGTAGATTCCCAGCCAAGAGGATTATATCCACCAAGTATTTCATTTGAATTTTCAACCTTTATAACAACTATTAGTCCAGGTATATTGTCACATAATTCATGAAATTTTTTGGCTCTGAATCCATCTCTATTACCTCTAAATAACAGTTTAAATTCATATGGAATTTCTGTAGTATTATAAGTTGCTGAACGTTGATCAATCCAAGAAGAAATTTCTGCTGCTTGCTCTAAATTGATTATTGATGAAGATATAGATATTGATTTTCGAGAAGGAAGTTGATTTGTCAATTTTTTGCGAGGAGGTAAAATTGTAGAAGTAATAGGATCATTTGGAGATACAAGTTTTGCCATAATATCATCCCACAAATTTCTTTCAAGAATTTTTTTATAAGGTCGTACTTTTTTTAAAGCTTCATCACCAGAAAGTTGAAAATACCTAATATGAGGCAAACAATTTTGAAGAGTAATTTTTAAAGATTTGAAATTTTCCTTATTCCATTGTTCATAATTAGAAGGTAAATTTGGTGTATTCGCTTTTCCCCACAAAATAACTTTATCCCAAATTACAGATTCATCTAATTGTAAATCGTTATGTTTTAAGAGAGAAATCAAAGCATTCTCTTGAATTGTGGTAAACTCATCAGAATCAAAAACCAAATTTGGGTGGTTTATAATAATATCATTACAAAATTGCTGCAAAGCTTTAAAATTTTCATTTTGAAAACTAATTTGATAAATGCGAGAAAAATTCAAACGAAGCCAGAAAGCGTTATCTTCAATAAGGCGAGTTTGAAGACAATCAACAGATTCTGAAAAGTTAAATTCATTGAAAGCAAGCAAGAGATCAAGTATACCAGAAGCGTCAAGGTTTTCTAAAGAAACCACACCACCATAAATATATCTACAGTATATAAATAATTAATTAAAATGTGAAACTATTAGTTAATTCTAGTTATTTATAATAAAGCTTCTATAATTATTACAAATTCAAATAACTTACTTAATAATAATATTAAATGTTTTAACAGAAATATCGGGTAATTTAATATTAAAGATATTATTTCCTTTAATTGTATTTGTTAATTTTTGTTTAAAGTAAGAAGAGCGTTGGTATAAGATTGCAGAATGTACTTTGAAAAGTTGAGTATCTGGCTGTTCACCAATTTCGATAATTGTATCATAATTATATTCACTTTCAAGAAGGTTGGTAAAATCTTGCGAAAGTTTATCATAAAATGTCAACATTTGGAAACAATGGTACAGTAATGCAGGCGTGCATTTGTATGCAATTTAAATCTGATACACAGCCAATCAATATCAGACTATCAGTGTGAAGTTAAAAGATTTCAAAGTCACTATAATAGATTCATTTCTAGGAGACAATTAGGTTCCGGAGCAGAGCGGAGGGACTTAAGAGACAATAGGCAAAAAAAATTCCGCATGTGTGGACTCCGGCTCAGAGTGCAAATATGATGCAAATTTTTAATCAGTTAACCTTTTAGCAGTAAATAACGTATTATTTGCAGACGTAAGATATTATTCTTTCAAATTGATCTTTATATATACAATTTATTACACAATTAATAGCTGCTCGATACGTAAGTATCGAGGCAGCTTTTGTCTCGAATCATGTGGGACGATCGAACATGTGATAGGCCCGATTACGATTAATCGAACGAAAGTATGTGGTATTAGTAGTGCGATCATTGATAAGAGTTTGATTGGTTAATTAGTTGTAGTAAGAATGGGGTAATTAAGTATAGGGGAATTGGGTAAGAATGAGGTAATTGAGTAATGGAGTAATTATGAGGTAATTAGGGTAGTATGAGGTAATTTGAGATTTGTATATTAGTGTAGTTATAGAAAGTAAGAGTAAGTAACTTTGTCTTTTCTGCGAACCCGACTTTCGTTCTGGTTAATTCGACCCCACTCACCCTACCCACAATAACAGGGATGTAGTAGTCTGGCCTGTCGGAGTGGCAGTTGACGTTGGTAGGACGGGTGAGTCTGTATTTTGGAAGTTTTGAATTGTGTGACCTGTTCGAACGACAGTCACAATGAATATTAGCCAGTCGGGACGACTGCTATTGCATAAAATTGAATAGCCAACCGATACTCGGGAAGGCTGCGAAAGTACTCGAATATGGGAAAGACATACCCGTATATTGTTCTTCTTAGTTTGATTACACTAAATGAGAGACAAACAAAACTTATATTTCTACGGTTTAAAAAATTCATTGACATTCAATATTATGTTGTTTTAACATTATTCATTATTATGTATTTTTGTCGTTTTGTAATAACTAACAATGGCATAATTATATAATCGAAATAAGTCAAAAAATTTTTTATGTATTAAGACATTATACACTATATATTTAGAAATTAGATCAAGAGAATACCTATCATATATTAGAGGCTTAAGTAAATATGTTAATCGGCTCAATCTGCCATATATTTCATGGATAGAGTTGAATAAGCTTATTGATATCTCTGCCTTTAAATTACAAAAAAAACCATAGCAAATATGAATGAATGTTAGCTGTTCTAAAGTAAAATAAACGTTAATGGTCTGTTTTACACAAAATTATATAATAAAAAAAATACCCTGTAATAAAATCAGCAATTATATCAATATCTCTGAAAGAAAATAAAGTTTAATGTATTAATAATTTGAGTACAAAAAATAAAAGTTTACTGTGTTAATAATCTGAATATAAAAAACTCAAGTTTAATGTGTTAATAGGTAATATGGAAAATAGAAGTTTAATGTGTTAATAATTTTGCTAACAACCTTTAAGTCCTATTAAACAGACAGATAAGACGATGAAACTAGCATCCTTAACATTAAATAGAACAGACATTGGTAGCTCAATCACGTATTCAGACTTTTTAGTGTGCTCCGGACTTCAACGGATCCCGATTTCCTAGTTTTACTGTTTGAAATTTCGTCACATTTGAATTTTCATATTTCCATATACTGTATCAACAAGCGGTATAAATCATGTGATTTGAACAGGAGGAAACGTTGATGTTACACGACTGATCTTTCACGCAATGAACTGGTATTGTTTTTTATATGTTGCACACCGGGTGAAAGAACAGTCGTGTAACATCAACGCTTCCTCCTGTTTGTGATTTGTGCAAAAGATTCTGCTCCAGATAGTCAATTAGCTTAATAAAAGATACACATACAAGTCACCCTTGTTATAGTGAAGTCGTCATGCTATAAAATTTCCTCCGCTATGGGAGTCTATTAGTAAATTCATTATGTCAAAAGGATTTTTATATAAACTATAACAAGAGTGACTGGTATTGTAACCATTAAATGGGAGAGCTAACAAAACAATTTGAGCAGTATGACAATTCAAGTCCAACGGTGTGCGGGAGAACAAGTGTTACAAATCGGCAAAATTTATTCAATTGATTAGTTGGTCATTATTTTTTCAGTTGCTTGTAACTAATCGATTAGTTTTTACAATTGATTTTTTGCAACTAATCAATTAATTCTTTAGTCAATTAGTTGCAACTAATCGATTAGTCGATTAATCGATTAGTTGGTGTCTAAAAAGTTCATTCGATTAGTTGTCAACTAACCAATTAATCGATTAATTTCGATTTCGATTGTATCACTAGTGAACGGTTAAAGGTGATGATCTTAGGAGCGATGATGATTGAGTGATTTCTTTAAGTTTATGTGACGGATTTACAGGAACGTCCTTTACCACAGTTTCCACAGGTAACGAGAATGACAATAGTTGATTTCGCTAGTGGACCGTTAATAGCACTAACTGATTTTTTTACTACACTATCATTCGGGTTTTAATAAACCCAGTCGAAGTCAGTGTTGTACATGTTTCACTGTTCAAGGCTTTTTTGACCATGTCCAAAGTATGTTCAAGCTTTAATAATTAATAGATTTGTCTAAAAAAAACATATTATTATATTTTTTTTTAGATTCCAACCATTTTTACTTAGTAAAATATTGAGTAATTTTAATTATATTTTTGGTCAAAAATGTTCAAAAATGTTCAAACACATGTCCAAAGCTGTCCATTGACAACACTGATCGAAGTCACAAGTCAATTCAGTCCGTCGAATTGAGTCTCAAGAGGTTTATCAAAGTTACAAGTCAAATTAAAAAGATAAAGCCTCAAGGGAAATTCAGATAAGTAGATACTTTTTATTATTATTGAAATTAATGGTGGACGAGAGCTGTCCTTCTTTATTGAACTTTAAGCATTGAAATGCATTTTTGATTCTTAGAATGTAAACACCAAAATTATGCTCACATAAAATTTACAATGTAATTGCTGAAAAATTGGTATACACGCCTAAAACTTTATAGCAAAGCGCTACTACAACCGAATGGACATATTGTACACATGATTTTTTCGGTGTATACACATTACATAGGCGTCTAAGCCATTAAGTCACTATTTACTCCTAGTTTAATATAAACTATGGACGTTGTTATCAAAATGGAATTTGAAAAAAGAAAATATATACATAAAATAAATAAGATAGCGACATATAAAAATTTTATTCTTTACAGTATCAAGAAGTTTGTTAAACAAAATTACTCTCGTTAAGAAGCTTCAGAAAACAAGATTGTTAAAAACAAGATAGTTACTATGAAATAGTACATCATATTCATTATGTTCTAAACAAATATTTCTTATGAATTTTTGATATTCCTGCCAATACAGACCCTAACACTATCTCTTACTTTTTCATGTTATATCGTTGTTCCTTCTTTTTTTATTTAATATCTCATATATTGCATCAGTAGTGAAATGTAAAGATCAAAATGGGAATCCCTGATACGAAATAGAAAGACTGGACCGAGTTATTAAAATTTTGTCATCAATAAAATTCAAATAATCGACTACATATCTGATATAGGTACTGTAGTTACGCATCGAAGTAATCTTTTTTACGTTACTCATAGCACTCTGTATTTTACGTTGTCTATATTTTTATATACTTTTAATGGCTTTCACTAACCTAGTTATACAATTTTATTTATATAAGCTATAATTAACAAATTTATTTGTACAGTCAATGCTCAAGATAACGAATTTTTGAATAACGAATATTTTGAAACAGCAAAAATTTTTTGCATCTGAACATAAAAATTTGTCTTCTAATAACTGAATTTTTCTATATAGCAAAGGCATAAGGTCAGAATGCGGACTTCGCTATATCGAGATTTAACTGTAGTAGAATTTATACATTTTTGCTTATTTGAAATACTTCATAATCATTTATTGGAAATGTACCATTTGTGTTTCTGATTGGCGGTTGATAAGAATTGCCACCACTACTATAATGGCAGTTTTTAAGGCCATAGGAAACATGAAATCCAAAACTATAAAACCATGGACCATGTTCTGGACCATAATAAATTGCATTTAATTGATCATTTACACGACTAAGAATAGATTCTTTCATATTTTCATTTTTTAAAGAAAATATAAAGCTACCAGGTGCCTTTGCCCATTCGCCTTTAGATTTCCAGCCTAGAGGATTATATCCGCCAAGTATTTCATTTGAATTTTCAACCTTTATAGCAACTATTAGGCCAGGTATATTATCACATAATTCATGAAATTTTTTGGCCTCGAATCCATCTCTACTACCTCTAAGCAACAATTTGAACTCATATGGAAGTTCTGTAGTATCATAAGTTGTTGAACATCGATCAATCCAAGAAGAAATTTCTGCTGCATGCTCTAAATTGATTATTGCTGAAGGTATAGATATTGATTTTCGAGGAGGAAGTTGGGTTGTCAATTTTTTGCGAGGAGGTAAAATTGTAGAAGTAATAGGCTTATCCGGAGATATAAGTTTTGTAATAATATCATTCCACAAATTTTTTTCAAGAATTTTTTTATAAGGTTGTATTTTTTCTAAGACTTCATTACCGGAACTTGAAAATACCTAATATGAGGTAAACAATTTTGAAGAGTAATTTTTAAAGATTTGAAATTTTCCTTATTCCATTGCT